TGAACAAAAAACTAAGTATAGTTATTACAGGCCATATTCTATCCTGGATCCTTGTGCAAAACTTCCACTGATATCAGTGAATGTTTCACTGTGGATACATCCTACATGAGCATAATTAAACATGAAATACAGTCCTCTGTTTGACACCACTCACTTAAAGGGATAATACCAGATTGCCTCTTTTCCCTAAGAACTGCTTGGCTTTGAGCTAAGGGTCCCAGTAAGTCCTCTTCTAAGCAGAGTAGATCCATAGCTAGCAGCCAAGACGACATTTCCATAATGTGTTTCTCTACATACATTTTTTTTAAAATAAATCCATGCTCCTAAAGTAAAACAAGCTGTTTCATGGGTTAATGTAAAGGTAACTAAATTGGATTTTAAACCTATTAAATAAATTCTGAATTTCAATGCCAAAGCTTGTTCCATTTCTAGCAATTTGGACTAGTTTGAATTAATTAATTTTATCTGTATTCTAAAAAGCTCAAGAAAAAAATTATACACATTGTACTGTTTACATCAAGGGATACAAGAGTAAGCTTGAAGACAAAACATGTTTGGTGACAATACTTTTAGATATTTAAAACTACAGGTAAAATATAAAAATTCTTGTTACAGAAAATATATGGAACTACAATGGTGCAAACGTACAAGTATAATCTTCAAAAAAAATTAAGAAAAAGAGGAAAGAATTGCAAATGTTTTGTGAATTAAAAAAACTATTTTGTAAATAAAGTGTTCATGGATTTTAACCAGGGGAAAAGACCGTCACTTCTCCAACATAGTTTCAGCCTGCAAGTCTAACAAGATACTGTGATACCAGTTTATCCAATCACCATACAACTTTGTCACAAAAATATTTTCATAGACCTCCAAGCCTCTAGGAAGTATATTTGCTGATAATGCAGTAATGTTCTGAGAATTATCCCCATCACTCTTCACCAGCATAAAACTCAATCATCACTCAGACAGTAAGCGTTTCTTTTTTCTAATAAACTAAGCCAACACCTAGCTAGGGAAAGTAGAAAACTGCTATGAAAGTTTAGTTTAAATTACTTTCCTGCATCTTACATCCATCTATAACCACCACATTAACAGATTATGAAATAGAAGTTGTGGGCAATGCAGAGTAGATGTGTTCTGGAATGAACCATAAAAGAAAAGTTTAGAGTCTCAATTCATGAATTTGTAGCAAGTTCAAAGCATAAGATGTAGAGTATTTTCACAACATGATTTCATAAGTAACAAAAAGGTGGAGTGAGGAGATAAAGAATGTGTGATATTGGTCTGGAACGACTTATTTCGTACACAAAACATCAAGTTCTCTTACGGAAGAACTCCAATAGTTCCCACCTTGTCAAGAGACTTTAGGTAGCCCTAAACCACTCATTGAGAACATTTTAGTCAGTGAAAGAAGGGATAACTAAATGTTTCAAGCAGTCAACATTTGTCTGGAGGGAATATGACCTCACAAAAAGCCAATTAACTTTCTCTCCAGTTCCTTGGGACAGAAGAAGCAAGGAACTATTTGTTGGAAGAGATTTAGTCTAAAGTTAAACTTTTCTATATTAAACAAAAAGCTATTTCACCTTTTTGAAGCAACATGCAAAGAAAATAAGAGTGGCTCTTTCTGTCTTTTATAGGATTAATATAGACAACTAGAGGTTCTGGGAGTTTCTTCTCACTTTTTTTTTTTTTAATAAACCTGAATGTCTGAAGTGTATTTACTTTGCTTTCCTAGGAAACTATGAGCAAATGAAAACTGACAGGGATAGTACATCAGTAAAAACAAGCAAATGAAATCTGATTAGCTGGAGTAAAAATGCTTTTCTTAACTATTTAAAATGTTCTGATTTTTGTTTACACCTATCTAACTCTGACCGGGGGGGGGGGGAAGAGCACACCCACCCTTCAATTAAGGCTGATAAAGCTCCAAATCTTATTTCAGAGTTATCCAAGAAGTTCTCCTACAAAAACAGAGGGAAAACAGAACCTGACTTTCCTGTTATTTCTGAGGTGAAAAAGAAACAGAACAAAACAAGCAATTTTAAAAATGCATGCTATTTACTATAAAGAATCAAATAATAGCACAAAATTCTCTACTCCTTGCAGGTCACTTTTAACTTGCTTGCTCTAGCAACGTATTTCTAAAAGTCTTGCAGTGTCATACCTAAATAAAAATGTAAGCGTAAACTAGTAGCACACAGGGTTGCCAACTTTTTAATTCTAAAAAACTGAACACCCTTGCCCCACCCACTGCCCCACCACTCCTCTGAAGACCCGCCCCTGCCTGGGCTCCGCCCCAGCTCACTCCGCCCCAGCTCACTCCGCCCCCCCGACCCTCTGTCTCTTGCTCTCCCGCACCCTGTCTCACATGCTCATTTTCAATGCATGGCCCAAACAGGCATATTTATTGTTTTGACAGATGTATTATGCTAAGTTCAGGTTTTATTTGTTACAGGATGCTAGAGCTGACAGCAAAATAGTCAAAAAAGGTAATTTTTAAAAAAAAAATGCAATTTCACAAACGTTTTCATGATTCTATCCCTCCTCCTTCCCATTTTTCATAACCAGCTCCACGCGTTTTGTTCACTAAAGTTATTGTAATTTTATATGTGGAATTAGGACCACACATTATCACAACTGCAATGGGTCTATTAAAGGCCCACTCCCAAAGCCAAAAAACAAATCCATAGAACACAGCCACAAAAATGCACACCTGACCAGATAACCAGATATAAAAATAAATCTGTAGAAACTCACTCCCACACCTACATGCAGATACACATGAATACACGTGTGTATACTTCTAGCATACGCTAACACATATATTTCCACATTATTTATTATTACAATTGTTGTTTAGTGCCTAGAGACCCCAACTATGATCAGGGCTCCAGGTAGATGCTGGACATCATACACATAAAAAGAGAGAGTCTGCAACAAAAAGTTTACAATGTAGCGAGACAAAGGTGGGGAGAAATGTCTGATACATTGGCTCTTCTGCCATTACTAATCAACAACATTCACTTAAGAAATAATACATTTCTTTTAGAGTTCCCTTCTCTTTTAAAAACTTGTTATGAAATGAATACACACACATTTTATGTCAATTTTGTGCGCAAGCCAGCAAAAGGAATAAAAGTCAGAGTTAAGCTGCAAATTTTATTCATACAGGTATACACAAATGCAGCAAGACACGCACATCCCTACACAAAGGGACAGTTTCTATCACACGTATGCATGCATGCACACCCTTGCCTACATGGAGAGACTTTTTCCATACACTTTTCCAGGGACTGCCTAAATCACCCAGCAGGGAAGGGAGGAGGGTAGGCTGGAGGGGAGAGGGTGGAGGACAGAGGATGCGGGCGGGGGGGGGGGGCAGTGAAGGAGAGAGGAGAGATGGGGTATATGGGGTAGATGGGGATGCAGGGGGAGGTGCATGAGGATGTGGGGGAAACAGGAATGTAGACACACAACGGGAGTGCAGCAATGTATGGAGGTGAATAGGGTGCCGGGGGGGGGGGGGGGCTGAGGAACATGGGGGTGGCGGCTCTGGGAAGTGGAGAGGATGGGTGGGATAGCACTGTAAGGGGTACATGGTTGGGATGGGTAGGTGTGGGGCGCAGGATGGGATGGGACAGGGCAGGACAGGGGAGGGATGCGACAGAGAGGAATGTAGTGAGGGGGATGGGGGTGCAGCCCCATTCCCAGCACTCGGAGACGGGGATACACATACCTCCAACTCCTGAGTGCCAGCAATGGGGCAACAGACAGAGGACAGTTTGCCGCAGGGCATGTGCTGCAGCTCAAGCCCAGCCACACGAGGAGAAGAGGGCCCCACACGCCCCCTCAACAGCCACCTGCCGAGTGCTTGTGAGCAATGCTAGTTCCTCCCCTGCTCTGACCCAGCCAATGGGAGCTATGCCTGCGGTCGCAGCACCACACAGACTCCGCCCTAGCAGCCCCTAAGGCTAGGAGCTGGACATGCCTGCTGCTTCCAGACCCAGGAGCTGCGTGGGCCGCAGCGTGGCACTAGCAGGGAGCCTGCCAGCCCTGCTGCGGCGCCATGAACTGGACATTCAATGGCCTGGAGCCGTCAGGATTCCTTTTGACCTGGGTGTTCTGGTCCAAAACCGGACACCTGGTCACCCTAGTAGTACAACTAATGAAAAGACTAAAGGAGAAAGATTTTTGAGCCTCAATTTTTTCATGAAACCCATAAGGCAGGCAGATTGATACTGCCTACTGGAAGCTCTACCTAATTGCACCTATAAGGCAACTCCCCCTAGCTCCCTTATCACTTTCTGCATATTACAAGAGGCCTTCTACATCATACTACCACCCAGCGTGGACTTTTTGAACAATTACCAAAAACAAAAAACCACAATTATTAATTGTTAATTCCTCTTTTCATGTAGCCTGAACTTCCTCCTGATTTCAACCTCTTATCTTCACTATATTTAACAAGTCTCTAACTTTCACATGAACTCAACTGCCCTGACCATACCCTTTCCGGGCCTCATTGGCCCTCTGTCCACTTAGTACCACTGCAAACTTTGCTCTTAGAATTTACAGCCATGACCTTACGCCCTAGTTTATGAAGCAGAAGCACTGCGTTAGTATATCTAAATTTAATCTGAATTCCCAAAAATAAGACCTGAAAAATAATAGCCTGCATTTTAGCATTTTCAAACTGGAATTTACACTAAAACCTACCTTATAGGTTGCCCCATATTCCCTGAAGTTTTCTTCTCTAAAAGCATATTTACGTCCGGGAGGTTGGGGGGGGGGGGGGGAGGAACGGGGACTACAACTTTTGGTCTGTTAGGGTGAAATTTATACTATTGTAAGAAATTTCTGCAATACAAAGAATCGAACACCAGATTTTTAGGGTTCATTTGTTAGACCAGGCATCTTATATTCTTTATATTAACAAGTAAGCTTTGCCTTTATCTTTTCCTTCCCAATAATAAAATAGAATAGAGAAACAAAATTACCTTCATGCACTGTTATTCCACAATTGTCACACTGGATTATTTCATCAGCATCTTCGCTGTTATCCCCAAGACAAACACAGCAAATCAGAATATGGTCCATTTTCTGGGAGGTCCAGTTTTGAGACTTTTCAAGGATCAGTGAGTCCTAGCATTGAAAAATTAAGATGCATTGATTACACTGGAAATCACCCTGGAATGGTTTATTATTTCTACTGAAAACAGGTATTTGCCCAGTGTAAATAAAAAAATTAAGACGACTTATGGATTCTCCTTGACTTCTGCCCTGTAACATTTTTATATTTATAATTATATATAAAAATATTTTAAAGCATGAAAAAATTAAGTACTTGAAGGTTTTTACATCTATATAAAAAAAAAGTCTTCCTCTCCGCTAGAATTGTATGATGCCCAAGTGCAATTCTGCCATCCGCCTTTTCGGGTCTTGATGACGCCTGCTGTAGAGAAGCCTTGCTTGGGTGGGCCTTATAAGATCTACTAGAGCAGGTCTCCCTTCTGGCAGACCTTATCCACCAACATGATTTAAACTGTTGGTGTTCTTTAAAAGAGGAATATCAGAAATATATAAAACTTCATTGCAATAAGAATTAAGGTTGAAAGTATGTTTTGGGAGTCCAGCTAACTTCAGAAAATTATTGCACTTCAACAAAAAGTCTATGCCTTCCCAAAAGCCCATGCCTTCCCAAAAGCCCACACAAGTGTTAAAAAAAGTATACTGCTGATTTTACATATGATTTATTAAATGGGTAAGAATGTCTCATCTTCTGACTACTAACACAAGTAAGGATTTGCAGGATCACATATATAGCTTATAAAGTACTTCAGAATTCTTCACAGTGAAAGGCACTATATAAAGTGAAATATTACTAATTTATACAATTCAATTAGGAATTTCTCTCAGGAAAACATGGAGTAGTTTATATTATTCAGATATAAAAGAGTGATGGATAAGTTCTGGGCATTTTCAACCTTTCAAGATATTTAAATGGATACTATTTAGAATGGATTTAAGGTTGTCCTCAAATTGATTAATATGTTTCTGGACTGTAGAGTAATGTCTCTGTACTGTATTAGCACACGGCACCCCCGACTCCCACCTCTATTTTTACAAAAAGAGTAGAACATAGAACTTAGACTGGCTTCACCAATAAAGTCTTAACATATGGAGAGGTGAGGCATCAGATGCCCTAGTAATAAAAACATCACTACTGATTAATTAAAGAAGTATTTGTAATAGTTTCAGAGCAGAGGCTGGCTATCCATGACAGCCAACAGCTACTATTAGAATTCTTGGCATATCCCAGAATCTGTACTGCTGTGGATTTTGGAGCAACAGGAAAAAAAAAGCGGGTGGGGGTAGAACTTTTCCTTTTCAAACATCCCATTCCCACCCCAATCCCTCATTGACGATTGTGATAATGCATTAACACCCTGTTTTTAACCCTTAGATCGGTGGTTCTCCAATTACCTCCCTCAGTCTCTCAATCCCACATAGCACTTCTCTCAAGATATTTTGTGTTCTGCTGCCACCAGGAAAAGCTCCACAGATTACCTGTGGCCCATGGACAACAGTTTGAGAACCATTTCCTTAGAAAATAAATCTAATGCCCAAGTGGCTCTGAAGATACAAAAGTCATTTACCATACTTGCATCATTTATTGATCGATCACTTTGCTCATAATTAAAAGCAATACAATACTAGACAGAGCATATCATGAGTAGTAAACATTTCCCAGATGCAAAGGCAATTAGTTTCCAGATGATGTGGGTCTTATGATATTTTCTCTTCCCAAATTTTCCTAAAAACAAAAGAAATTTCAACTTGCAATATTCAGGACTACAGATAATAGATACAATGCAATGCTAACAGACTAATGCCAGCCTGGGGGCAGATGGGGGAGGCAGATTTATGGTTCAGCATAACTTAATTCATCTCACTAAAAAGTTTAACTGGGATAGTTATTCTGTTATGTTTTCATTACAATATGTTAAATGCACATTGATCATCCTTTCTACAAAAGATAATGTAAGCTGTACAATTAGTATGTATTGTTTTAAAATTTCTAGTACTCAAAACACTAAGAAAAGTGAGGCCAACACCAAACTGATGATTTGAAAGTGAGTAATATATCTAGGTCCTCAACATTTTAGGGAATTTTCCAAAAGCTCAAGGAAATACATTTCCAATATGGTATGTAAAACCACCATTTCTACATTAAACAAAAGAGATGTGCCTAGGTTATACATAAAATCTAATATGGCGCACTAGAACGACGAATAAAATGTAATTTATATGGGGTGTTTGCCAACATCACATGGAGAAACTGTTGAGTTGGTTGCAGGGCTTTGGAGCGGATCGCAGAGCAGCTCCGGAGCCGTGGAGCTGCAGGTTTTTGCCTGGAACTGGAGCGGAGCCGGAGCACAGCTCCAAAGCCCTGTTTGGTTGTTCTAATTTTCTTTAAACTTCATAAAAATAGAACCAAATCTACATAGTCTTAGGAGATCAATAATACAGAGCTCTTGTCACTTCTTGGTTACCAGTCTGAATCCACCCCCGGTTGCTTTATGATGTTTGTTCAGTGGCCTACATGGAAAGCTTTGTAGATCTCAATCTGGTTCCACTATACAGTACAACTGGCATCTTGATCTGACAGGCCAAGGACCATGGCACAAGTGATCTTCCAAAATTTGGACACTGAAGTTCAGTTATGAGGTACATTGGTGGAGCACTGTGGAAAAGTTTGTAGTGCTGCTACTAACTTTTCTGTTTACAGAAGATTCCTGGTTCCAGAGCTATTAATCTGGCACAAGCTATATATTTACATCAAACATTCAAAAAATAAAAATAAAAAAAAATACAGGCAGTCATTACATATTTTAAACCCATTCAGGACACAGGCAATCTCTTCAGGAATTTAAGTCAGGAGCAAGTAGTTATAGCCAGATTGCTTGTAGTTATTGTCTGGAGAGGGACAAAAACAAACTTAAAGATGCTCACAAAGACCATGGTAGAAGAGAGGGTACCAAGATGAAGGCAAGCTAGTAAACCCTATACTCTGCTTCCACTATGAGTATATTTTCCATTACCCTCTCAATCAAGAAAGAGGTCATGATCCTTGAGGTGATGGGGAAGATAACTCTAGGAATAAGAGAGAAAATTATAAAAAAATAGCACACAGTGTCATGTTTGCAGAACGGATGAACAGGAAATAAAGAAGGAATTAAAGTTTTCCCCATATTACATAGGTTCAGGATTAATGAGGGTTTCCCCTTACTTTTAGAATAAACCTATAAAGGCCAGCACTTTGTGACAAGACCATGAATTGAGAGCACTTCTCTCCCTGTATAATTGCCTATAAATATGATTTAGGTAACTTTCCCTTCACTTTACAAATACAAAAATGTGTTAGCAATACCTCCTAACTATGGCAGATTAACTGTGCACTGGCACAGCTAGACTTGTAGCAGAGAGGTCCTTTAAGTTCTAAGGACTTTACGGAACGCCAGAATTTTCAGTCAACACCACAGGCTCAGATTCTTTGTTCGGCTTCACTGAGGAAGGTCTAAAATTTTGGTCTGATTTCTAGTTCTATAAACACTGACATTTTTCTAACTAAAAGCAAACATATAAAACTTGTGACTTTTTATCCAAATAAATAGAACTATGTGAAAACACTGATATGACATTTATATGGAGAAAATATGTATGAGAAACAGATAGATGGTAGAGGGCTAAGCCAATGCTGCAAGGATACCAAATTTGGCATCAAAATTAGGTTTTGTGAGGGGACCCTGAATCTGTGGTATGGTGTATGTAGTGGCCAGGAACCCTCATGTGGGGTCAAGAACTGTTGTTCCAGCCAAACCCTACATCTGCAAGGTAAAGGGGTGGATTTCATTTCCATCACCACTTAATTCCCCATACAAAGTCCACTATTGCAGGAAGTATTAAGTTTCACAACTTATGCACATGTACTTCCTAATAACTTTAATGGGAATTGCAGAGGACCTCATTGGGGAAGAAAAGAGCTCCTTAAAGCAATAGCGATTATAAAATTGAAGAGCATCATTTATCTACTAATGATGCTTGACAAAAGTTGCGACAGTGTAAGCTTGTCTGCCTACACTTAATACAGTAGAACACTATAAAGGTAAGTCATTACAACACAGGTTCAAGTATAACATGGTCTGTCCTTGAATTCTATCTTTGCAAAATGAAAGGGCAAAAAAATTAACAGAGCAAAAAGACTTGACAGAAAAACCAAAATCTTTTTAAAGGCCTCAATATTAGCTGCCTACAAAGTTAGTTGCTTAAATACTCTGTCCTTTCATACATCAAGCACAGTAACATCTGCATTACTAGGACTTAAGCTTCTGCATTGTAATGAGATTCTGCTGGACTCTAGAGGAACTATTTTTACTAAATGTGAAAAATTAATATAGTGGAGCTGCCAGCAGCACTTTTAAAACATTGTTTCAAACCCCATAAAGTGAAATTGGACATGTATTCTGTTAACCTAGAAGTTAAAACTAGATTTAAAAATTAAAGTCCATTAAGATCATTTTCAATTTTAGAGACTCAATTACCTTGCTTTGTATTGAAAGAAAACAATCTAAAAACAGCTTAATCAAAAAATTCAGATAGTTCTTAACATGCAGTGTTAGGATAATTTTTAATCAGTTGTGATAGTTCATTCTGAAAGGTAGGAAAGATGGTCTTATTATTCATGCCCAAGATTTGAAGCTAGGAGATCTGGGTTTTAATTCTAAGTCTGGCACAGACTGTGGAGAAGTCACTTAAGAATCAATCCAGCAAGGTGCTAAATGCCATCAATTACCATTGATGTCAGTGGGAGCAGAGGACACATTAAGGATCAAGACCTTAATCTCTCGGTCCTTCATTTTCCCCATCTGTAATATGGGATTATACTGTAACAACACTAATCTATCTCAGATGTTCTGTGAAGCTTAGTCCATTAATATCCGTGAAGTGCTTTGAGAGTCTCAGCTAGAAAGCATGGATAAGTGTATAGTGGTAGCTTTAAATTAGAAAACGATACAAAGGAAAAGGGACTGAGAGTGGGCTACTCTAAGAGAGCCCTAAAGATCAGGGTAAAATAGGTCTGCAATATCACTGCCTGTATTGTACCTACTGTGGCAAGAGGGCAAACGTTACCTGCTATGAGGTTCAAAAATGACACATTCATCTAAGTAGTACTTTGGACCCTAACACTATAAAATCTAATCATTCCTTGTAGGGTCACAGCAATAAGCATATAATGCACACAATGTCGCAAATTTCCAAACAATTGTACTGGTTTAATGTTAAAAACAGTACACACATTTGATAAAAGTAAAACCTAAGGGATATAATTCTCAAGTTATCTTTTTAGTCACAACTACTAGCGTTGATTCAATGCACAACTGATACCCAATGTTAGTGACTAAATCCATCAAGTATCTACAAGTAAGTCTCTCATTAAAGTACAACACAGAAAGACATTTGTTTCTTCAACATTCCAAAATACTCAACCTCGCTCAACACAATTTGGAGTGTTAAAAGTAAAATCAGCACACATTACTCATCAGAAAAGATTCTTTAAATGAAAAAACCCTCTAAGTAATCCTGTACAACTATAATTTATCCAGAAGTTACACCCTATTGTATCAACACTATACTTACCTGCAAAAAGTTAAAACAATAGTCTTTACAGTGATTTTTTTGAATTTTGCAACTGTGATGTATTAAGTCAGCAATCTTAACAACCCAATACAGTACTAATACCCCTATTTAAGGGAACAGGAATTGTGTGGTAAAAGATTGCAATATCAGAAACGGAACACATTATTTGCATTCTGCAATCACATTGTAGTCAATACAATTAATTCTTACCCATGGTACTGTTTGGTTTTTTAAAAAAAGTTAGAGCAACACCAAAACTACAAACAGCTTGCTAGAGAAATATAACATTCATTCCAGCTGAGCCCACATCAGAGTAAATGTTCCTCTATTAAGAATTCTTGAACAGAGAATTTAATTTTTGCTTTCTATGTTTGCTGCAATGAGGAACTGGATCAAGAATATTTACTTTTTTTTTTTAATATATTTGTTAGGACGTGTCAAAGCTATTACGCGACTTTAGCGTTGGTTTCTGTTTAATAAGATACATGCTATAACAGAACTAAACTGTTCATTAGCAGAAGTTAGTTTGCACTATGGACCTACTTGCTATGAAGCTGATCCAAAGGCCATTGAAGCCAATGGAAAGACCCCCACTGATTTAAATGGGTGCTGATTTGCTTGGGCCATAAAGGCCAATTTATTTCACTTGCAGTACCCATACAGCATAGTTCTGTAGGTTTAATTATTCAAAAAAACCCAATGTAAATAGGATTCCAGTCAATCAGTTTAACTTCAACGAGTAATTTAAAAAGAATAGCACTGCAGAGTACTTTCCATTTTTCAACAGACATATTATAGAAAGTTGGTTGCTCTACCTCATTACTCTTGCTTTGTGATAGAGCGAGGCTATCATTTGTCAGCTCCTCATCATCAGCACTATTCCTGCTAAGAACTTTATGTTTCTTTTTCTTGGATCCACCATCACTAGCAGTGCTGCTGTTATCCTCATTGCCTTCCTCATCATTGTCATCCTCATCACTACCACTTCCATCATCTTCATCCTCCTCATTATCTCCATCACTTCCCTCTTTCCGCAGAGCAGTTTTTCCCTTCTTCTTCCCAGCAGTAGGTCGCCAGTCGTTGTCATCCTCACTGTCATAATCATCCATATCATTTAGCTCTTCCATCGATACAAAATCCAGCAGAGGTCGGTTCCTACGCAAATTCCACTTTTTCGGTTCATTTGTTTGCTCATCAGCAGCAGCATCAGTTTCAGTTGCTTTTTCTTTCTCTTTTTTCTTTTTTGGCCTCTCATCTTCTTCCTCCTGTTCTCTTTTTTCAGTCTTAATCACCTCCTTCTCTGTTGTAAGTATAATTTCTCCAGCAGAAGTTTTGGGTTGCTGTTCTTCCTCTACTTTCATTTCTTCTGCCAATTCTTCCTCCAAGACATTCTCTTCTGATTCACTACAGGAACCTTCACCACTGTCCTTTGATGCATCTTCACTCCCACGACCACTTCCTTCAGAATCTGTTGAGCATATGAAAATTTAAAAAAAGTGTTCCAACACAAATGTACCCAAAAAACCCAAAAGCTGTTGAAGTAACAAGTTGTTAAAATTACAGAATGATGTATGTTCCTCCCTTATTAGGCATCCAACCTATGTTGCAGTTGGTGTCCAAATATCGTTACTGCAAGTAGTACTACTCAGAATCTGTTGAATGAGTGCATTTTGAAATGACAAAAAAAAAGTTAAAATATATTAAATGACACATAGTTAAATTCCTCTTTGCATCACTGCTCATATTACCAACAGGCAGCAGTATGGGATAGATATACTCGCCATTTGAATAAGTGAACTTGTTTTAAAATCTTAGTAGTTACCCTCTAAACCTTGAAAATGAAAGCTCAAGATAAAATAGATACTCAGTACAAAACACTCCATTTAAAGACCTTGGTTACAAAATGAAGCATTCAAAAGTCAAGAAGTGCCAAAGTTGAGTTTGCTCATATAAACTTAACTCTGCCACCTAGTATATATGCATAGTAAGAATTCTTAATTTCACTATCACTTACTATTTTTACCTTACAAGAGCTCTGCCTCATTCAGTGCACAGTTTGGACAATGGGCAAATCTGAACTGGGTGTCACCCCATTATCATTCTTCTGTTGCTGGTCCCTTGTCTCATTCACTACACATAGTCCAATTTGCACAATGGATAAGGCAGAGGTTCTGGACTTCTTTTTTCCTAGCAGAACTTCAGTCTCACTTATTTGTATATTGAATAGAGAATGAGGCAGAACATGTAAAAATGTAATTAAAGATTATTATGATGAATTTGCACAAAAAGGTTGAAAGATGCCTGGACACTTTCTGACTTGAATGTTTCTCTTAGTAATTAACATTATTTTACTAGTTTTCATTTGAAATATTTATTTATTCTTTGTTTTCCTTAACTTAAAATTGTCTTATTTGAAGCAATTTACTAGAAAACAGTAGAAAGTTCTGTTCTGCATGATACATGCACTCAATGAGGCAAGGGCTTCTGTGGTGTGCATATTATTCAATGAAGTAAGGATTGAGATTTTCCAGGTTGTTCAGATCTATCACCAAATTGTGCCGGTCATCTCCAAGAAGTGCCAATAAATAAATAAATCTCTAACCACATCAAGTATCTTTTAAGCCACGCATTATAGAGAACTACTTTACCGGCACCTAAAAAAAAATGCCTCTGCCCTTAATCATCTTAATTACCAAGCAATAGCAACTAATGCATTGTATTAGTTACCAAAGAGCAATCCCTGCATACACCTTCATAGTCATATACACCCCAATAGATAGTGGAACTAGCACGGTGGAGACAGGATGCAGAGAGCCCCATACACACAGCACGTATCTAAGCCTTATGTGGATACATTTATGAATGCAAGGATGTGGTGCTAAAGAGTGACACCAGGTACTAAATTTCTTAAAGGACCCATTTCTTACAATAAATTTTAACTTCTAAATTAATTAACAAATTTTACTTTTAAGAGTAAAAGGCTTATGAACAAATGCCATGTCTTATGGTAAGCCAGTGAAAGTAGGCTCACAATAACAGGAGAGGAGTGCCTGGCACCATTTTGAAGCATTCCTTTAATTGTACACGCTCTTGATCCTACCAAGACTTATTCATATGCTTAAAGTTAAGCTCAGAGAAGAGTCTTTCCAGAATCTAAGTATAAGCATGCTGAGTGCACAGCAAGTGTCCTGAATTGAACATGTGGTGGGGGACACGACCACCATGTACAACTTCAGATATCTTGAGTCCTTCCCTTAGGGAAACAACAGACCCCATGACTAGGGGCAAACAAGAGAGACTGTTACCACCAATACAGTATCACAAAGCCCCAGTGTCACAAAAGCAATTTTTTTTAAGTTAACTATGCTTTAGCTGATCAAGTCCCATGACCAAGGCTGTACTAAACTGTGCCTGCACTTGATTATGAAAAATCACTTTATCAAAATTATTGCAAGAAAGTCAGTCAGAAAGTTAATCTTAGATAAATGTAGATTAACTGCACTAGGAAGTAGAGTCTTATCCTTTTATGTAGTTTTTTTTATTCTAAATATACTCTGATTAAAGCTTTTTTTTTAATTAATCTTGTTATACTACTTAAAATAATGGCTCCACAACTAATTTTGACCTTTAAGAGTAAAAAACAAATGGTGATACTCATAGTTGAATAGCAACGCATCTGATTGCCAAAAAAAAAAAAAAAAAAAATACAAGAAATGGGATACATTTTTTAAACTCTTCTCTGTACAATTTGTCAAATATTCTTTAAATTTGAAAAAATACGTTCTTCATACAGCGATGGTCAACATAGCACTATCAGGAAAAAAAAAAAAGGTTTTTTTTTGTCAGAAAGCCTAATGGAACATTTCTAGTTCTTTCCAATCCTTTATTCTTGCAACTTGTCCTGGTTTCCATGTTCCCTGTCAGCTAACCACTATACTCAGTCTCAAGTCCAGTCACAAAACCTGAAAAAAGCAGTATGTGAACCAAATATCTCAGAGTAACTACAGTATACCATATGCCATTCCAATCATTTCACCTAATTACAAAAGGTAAATTCCTTTTTCTAAAAGGAAAGTTTTAAAATACCTTAAAGAACAATCAGCTACAAAAGCAGTCATTTTGGTGGTTTGATACAGGATAAGACAATTCTTCTCCAGTTTGAATGTATGAAAAAGAAGGCACTTTAAAATCATTGTAACTTACGTTCTATTAGCAGATTTCTGGTTATCAGATAAAGCTAAACACCATAATTGTGCATATTGGATAGAATAGTGGGTGAATCAATCTTAAATACCAAAAAAGAATAGAATTGGTGTCTATTATGTAATGTTCCAAACATTTGATTTTAGACTTAATCTAATGTCAATTTTACTTGAAGCCATAATTTTTTGCACTTATTTGCATTGTATGAAAGTGTGACTAGGCATTTTAAAATATGAAGTATATGGCTCAGATCTTTAAATTAAAACACTGCTGTTAGCAGAAGAGACACAGTAATGTATGTAAAGACAAAGATCATCAGACAAAAGCATATAAGATATGATTGTACTGTTTAGAGGCAGTACTTTGTCATCCTATGCCTATGAGTGAGGCATTTAAGCAACTTTATCAAATGCAGGTGTGGATTTGGGAAGGTTACAAAAAAAGGGGTTGTGAATGATTGGCTTTCAGATACACAACTGGAGATTTCAGTTTACAGCATCTGACAAACTTACAGTGTGTCATGTCTAGTCAGCACAAGGATGAAAAGCATCTAAGGACAACCCAGTTACTAACTATGTAGTAAGTGGGCATTCTTACCTCTGAGCCAGCACTCAGTAAGCGACACAGCATCCAGCACAGTGGCTATCTCTTTATTCATGTCTCTTCAGAGCCCAGCAGAATAAGGTACCGATTTTGATTAGGGTCTTTAAGTGTTTATTAATAAATAATAATGGCAAGAAAAGCATCATGCAGCTTGTGGCATGACAGGAAATTTAAAAAAAAAGTTAGAGTAAAAAGTTCTGAGCACTTTAACCCTGCTGTCATGTTTTTCAAAAATCCATCTTGCCTACTTAAAAATTCTCTTTAATGTTTTCAGTTGAAACGAAAATGTTCTTCACCGCACTTACTGTGCGGCAATGCTGATGCAAATAGATGCAGAGTTCATCCTTCAAAAGTGACTGCATATCCACATGGGCTCTAAAGTGCTTTGAGAGCTCTAGGCTAAAAAGGTGCTATACACACAAGTTATACAGGAAACAAATAGATACTCTAGTCCAAGCATCAAGAATCCTTAGGATGCATCTATTTAAAGTTAAAGAGAAGAGTACACTATAGTTGCTTTTCAAAGCAAATTCTCAAAGCACTGATCTTTATTGTGCACTGTTGGATTGCAAAACTTCAGTTGAAGACATGAAACTCCGCCTCATAGGGTACAAGGAAGCACCCCAAATCACAAACTTGAATGTTCTTTGTCTCTTGTAACTTTAAAAAGGAGCCAAACTAATTATTTTTTAAAAAATTATTCTAAAACTGAGACCATGTAATGCCAATCTTCAGCCAGGAATAAGTCTTTAAATTATTTGTAATAAATGAGTAATAAATACAGCTTTAACTATAATGATATTAAGGAGCACTACTAGAAATAGTATCTGAGAAAGTGTAAGAAAGTTACTTTATTCATTGAAAATAACCAGGCAAATGCAACACTAAGGTTTAGAACTAGTGTCATGTCTACAATGGGGAAGTTTATGAATTCCAAAACCAGTGGGATCCTTAAAGCAGATAAGGCATCAGTTGCTTCCATCATTTTACCATTGTGTCGGCTACACTTGATGAAAAGCTTAAAAACAGGATTAACTGACACTGTTATAAAAATGGGTCTACCCATGGAAACCTTGTCCACACTAGGGTTACCACTGGAACTGGTGAGTAATTTGTTCCTTTATTTTGGAAGTTCCCTTATCACATACAAGACTTCAGAGGAATAGAATCCAGAAGATTTGGGAGTTAAAATATCTATTTTAAACAGTTGAGTTCAATCTTGCAAACCCTTGCTACAGCACATAGTTCCATTGATTTCAGTGTGACAATGAGCACGATTAAGGGTTTGCAGTATCTTAGCATCTCATACTACTACACAGGCTGTTAAGATCTATAACTTCACATACACAAATGCAACGTGGCTGAGTGAGGGGAACCCAACTTTTGAATTTCTTGACTTCAGTGCGTTTAAATCCTTATATTTGATGATTAACCTTTTTTTCTGTGGAACTTCTTAGGCTTTTACTAAAAATTTTAGTAATCTGAAATAGCTGTGTGTGTGTGTGTGTGTGTACAGTGATATAACCAAATACATGCGTTACTGCCTATTTGTTGAGTAGCCACACATACTGGCATTTATTTGAAAGCATAATCATATTGCACAATATAATAAGGTTATTCTCCATTTATTTTTAGTTACTTGGTCATCTACATTTGTAAGGAATCCATTCCAAACAAGAAGTTCAGCCACAGAATTCTAAATCCAAAGAGTACTTAGACTTAAAGACATATAGGCCCTGATCCTGCAACATATTGTAGATAGACAGATCTCTGGATCCACATGGAGCAACACTGAATTCAATAGGGTACCACATGAACACAAGAATCTGCCCATGTCTTATGTATTGCAGAATCAACAATGTTGTAAACTAAAGGAAAATCTACTCTTCAATCAATAATAGGGTATTATTTGTGAGGCAAACTCTGGACATGTTGCAGAGTTCTTTTACCCTTGTCGTTCAGTTCTTCCATCAAAAAAGTAACCAGGCCAAGTATAGCTTAAATATAAAATCATATATCAACCACATTCAGAACGGCACAGACCTGCTCTTTCAAGCATGCAATTATTGTCTAATTAGCATGAAACACAGGAAGCAAACATTTATATTGTACTAAAAATCAACACAAAAGGGATAGAAGCCACTGAAGAACTGACAAGCTTTTCCTCTCAAAACATTCAGAACTTTATTTCAAATACTTTTTTTCTTTTCAAAATTTCACAGAGTAAGCACTCCCAACTGAAGTTATACCAATTCTGAAGTTTTAAAGCAAAGCTATTTCAATGATCTGAACACAAAAAAAGGTCAAAGTATTTTAAGAGCAGAACAAGCAAACTTCTCTTATTGTTAGAGATCACAAACTGCTTTGGCTTCTATGTTGCATCTTGAGGGAATTCCCACTTGCGCTCTTTAAAACTGGAGTAGAGATTTAAACATCTGTAAACTATTCAGGGCCCGGACTGAGTCTCCCTGTTTGTACAACACCCATAGGTTTAATGGACCTTTAATCCAAGTGGAGTCTTTAGGTTCCAATACAAAATAATAATTTAAGTAGGAAGTTTTACTTCTGAATTTATTTTTTCACTAAATATGAGAATGTTATACAACATACTCCCATTTTTTATTTTCCCATTTTGATCTTCACACTACCCCTGTGTGTCCCATACTCCCTTTCCCAAGAACCTCACTTTTGCTATTACATCATTATAAATGCCACCTATGCTATTGCACTACAATAAAAGTGACTAGCCTGCCACTGGAAATTGACAATATAATTTGTTTCACTCAACTCCTTCCAGAGAGTTCTATCTGCAAGATGAAAAGTCCTTAATTCCAAAGAAGCTTAAAGTGAAAATTAACAAGATGCAGATCAGTTTCATTCTGATGCTGCTGCAATTCTCTCCTACAAGAAGACAATCCCCAGGGGAATCTTTAAAATTGGGACTAAAGTTGAGGAAGAGAGGCCAGTGGAAAAATAGAGCATACCTGCAATCCTGTATCAGTTTAAACACCTATGTTGGACAAGGAGCCATTAGGAATTACTAAATTTATTAATACGGGACAGTTTACCAAGAGACGTGGTAGAAATTACAAGTCACTAGGCTCAATGCATCTGAATTACTAGGTGAAGTGCTTTGGCCTGTGTTATGTAAGAGGTCAGACAGGTGGCCATAGGGCTCCCTTTAGGCCTTAAACCTCGTTTTATTTCTACATATGATTCTATGATCTGTATATAGCTAGTCTATTTATCTACATAGTCCTGCCACTTTTACCCTCTTCCTCCCACCTCCAGCCTCCATTTATTTATTACATCAGTTATTGTGTGGGGGCTTATTTTAGGCTTCAAGAGAGATTCCATGCAGGTACAAGGGTCTTTGAATATGGATTAGATGGCAGGAATAGGGCTTTAGACTGTAGATCTTTTGAGGCAGGGACTATATTATTCTGAGTTCATACAGATCCCAGCACTGATCTGATTGAGTCCTCTGGTGCTACTGTAATATAAATAAATAAATCTAAATTGTTTTTTTGTTCTCCTCCCAAGTTGTCTACTTTTTGGCAGGGACCAGGCTTGGGGGGGAAGGGCCAGGCCATCCAGAAAAGATAATCTCTTGCTTTTGGGAACAAAGAGGTGCTGTGAAGGAAATGACTGCTTATCATTAATATGTTAGTCCAACATTATAAATAGGTAATTCCATAATGGTTTTTTGTTAGACAAAAGCCAGATCTAACTTACAGAGCTACAGTGGCACAGCTGTACTGATGCAGTTGCACCGCTACAGCGCATCTGGTGAAGACACTATGCCAAAGGGAGACAGCTCTCCTATCAGCATAAAAAAACCCCACCTCTGCAAACAGCAGAAACTATGTCATCAGGAGAAGCTCTTCCGCTATCATACACTGACAAGTTCATGTGCCCAGTGCTAACCCATGTCACCCAGCAGGGTGGTTTGTTCATACCCCTGAGCAACATAAGTTTTGCTGACAGAGGCTGTAGTGTAGACGTAGCCTAACTAGAAACTAGGAGCGACAACTAAAACACTTGTGCACAAAAAATACTTATTGTCCCTGCTGGTCCTTGTTTGATCTACAAGGGGAATGTTCTGAAAGCAACTAATGCTTAATTATCTATTTTTATTTTGGAAAAAATACTTTTTAAAGTTGTACCCTGGGTTAGGTATTTCACAGAGAGAAGGATTACAAATTAACCAGTAAGATTACTGGGCTTCAGGTCCCAACATTCCAACAGGTTTATATCCTCTACAGAAACACAATGTACAATTTCAATGTATAGCCTACTGATTGACCAGTGCCACTCCTTCTCCCATTCCAGATATGAGCTGCGAAACCAAAAGCCATAATCTCTCATAAAAATAATGGGAACAAAATATCATTTTGAACTGGGGAGATGAAGGGAAATGTTTACCTGAGGCATCTCCAACCTTAAAATCACTGTCATCTGAGCTATCATAATCTAAAGCTTCCAGCAGTGAAGCTGCCAAAGGCTTCACTTGTCTCCTCTTCGAACTGCGATCCACTATAGAAAGGAAAACATTTCATTATTAGAGAATAATAATGAAAAATCAACATTATATTAAGCATAAACCATATAGATTATACAGGGGCCGGTGGCAGGAACTGCCTATTTTGTACAGTTTAAAGCTCAGTCAGCACACAAACAACATCGGAGACAATAGCACCCACCTACAGCCAAGGATCTGAAATAGTCCTACAAGTGCAGGGAGGGAAGGGAAACATGATGCATAAAGGTTTGGGGTTAATACTTCTTTTGTGGGGGCATCCCCGGCCCCCAGGACCAGCTCCCCTCAGAAACGATAGCTCGTTAGTACTAACTGAGCAGTGGATACGGAGAGCAGCGGGGGGCAGGGAGGGGCTAAGGGGGGTGGCTATTGCCTCCCAGCGGGAGGTGTGGGGGGCAGGCAAGACCTCGCACCGTGGGGAGGGGAGGGGCGAGAGACCCTGCACCTGGGGGACGCCCAGTGCTAGCCCGGGGCGGGCAGTGCGGGGACTCCGGGGACAGTCACTTACTAAAGCCGGCGGCGGGACCAGGAGGCGAAGGGCGGGCTCGGGAGGCGGCGGCGGCAAGCGCCCCGGTCGCCTTCCCGCTCCTCGGCGCTGGCGGAGTCCGGGCCGGTAACCCAGACAATGGGCACAGCCGCAAGCCGCGACCCGGATGCAGATCCCGGCCACAGAGCAGGGCGGGCTTTGCGCCTACAGCTCGCCCCACTGAGCATGCGCAGCACGCCCGCACAGGCGCATTCGGGGAAAGTGAAGCTATTCAAGCGTCTACCCTTCCGCAGCCCGATAGCGCAGCTGGGAGCCGCTGTGCCTGCCCCTGACCCCTCAAGGGAGCAGGAGAGGGGTGAGGGGGATTTAGGGTTGGGTGTGTGTGCAGGATGTGCGGGGGAATTGGGACAAACTATGCCCAGGCTTTCATCCTGATCTGGGTTTTCAGTGCAGGGACAGAGGGCTGCACAGGGACTAAGGTGCAGTGCATTCATTCATTCACTCAATAATACTGGCCACGCCACGAGTTCAGAAATCACCAATCACCCCTCCCCCTCCCACAAGTGAGACTGGATTATGGTTAGTGAGTTTTTTAATGATAAAATTGGGACGCTTTTGATTTTCCTTTTGGTTTCTGAGCCCTCAAGCTGCACGGAGGTCACGTTTTCAGGCTTATCTGAGCAACCATGAGGGCTAGAAACTTACTTGTTTTAAAAGTGATTGTCACCAAAGCCTTCCCAGAGAAGCCCCCACTCCACCCCCCTGCACTGCTTTGTTTTAAACTTACTTGTTTTAAAGGGAAGCTGAGAGTATTGCCTAATCACATGGATCCAGGAGCTGGGGATTTAAAGAAAACAAATATTGTGAGACTTATGGTGAAATCGCAAGAGCTGGTAATGCTGCTTGCTGCCTGATCCTGGGTTGGGGAAATGGGTGCCTCCTCATGAGCTGATAACCCATCCACATCCTTGCTTAATGCAGGTTTGCCAACCCCATCCTTCAAACATCATAAATCTGACTTCCAAAACCATGAGATTGGTTTAAAAACCAGGAGATTTTAAAAAAATACATTTTGGGATATTTTTATTTCCTTTCAGATTTTCAAATCTTTAAGTATTATGTCTTCAAGTGTTTCTTCATAACTATTAGGACTGGAAAGCTTGGGAGGGAGTGTTTCTTTTTCAATAAAATCTTAGAATCTCATGTAATCACATGAGTCCAGGAGCTGGGACTTTAGGAAAAACTACCAGATACTGTGAGACTTGTAATAAAAATAGCAAAAGTTGACAGCGCCGCTAACAGAACTGTGAATGTTCTCAATTCGGAGTTCAGTTTTGAATCCTACTAAGCTTTTAGCCTCAATGCCATATTTCAATATGAGTTCCAATGACTAGTTGTGCTTTGTGTAAATCAGGGGTTCCCAAACTTGGTTTGCGGCTTGTTCAGAGTAAGCCCCTGGTGGGCTGTGAGATGCTTTCTTTACCTGAGCATCCGCAGGTACGGCCACTCGCAGCTCCCAGTGGCTGAGGTTCGCCATTCCCAGACAAGCCGTGAACCAAGTTTGGGAACGCCTGGTGTAAATATATCTATATTATAAATTTTTCCCCTTATTCTTGTCTTACAAGTGTGACTGGATAGAAATGCCCAATTTAACTTCTCTACCATTTATTATTTTGTATCTCTTAATCATATTTCTTCTTACTAAGAGTTTAGTAAATACATAAAGACCATTTTCTACTCTTACTCCTTGTGTAAGCCTCACACTGATAACATTAGTGGGAGTTCACTGTGAACTGAAGCAGCATATAGCCTTAAGTTTATATCTCAGCCCACTAACCATAACTAAAAAAATTAAATTTGGTCCCCCTCCATCAAGTGAGTTTGACACTGCAACATTAAAAGATTTTTGTTCAGTGACGTATGGAAAGTTTGGCAGTCTCACTGTACTACTCAGTGAACCGGATCTGAATCACAAAAGTCACTAATTGATATATTTAATTTTATTTCTTTAGAGACTTACAAGAACCAGAAAGGGCACCTATAACCTCATACTCTAGATACCGCTAACACTGTTAACCATATAAAGATAGGAACAAGCAGCAATCCCAAAAAAATATAGCAATAACTAAACCATACAGCTCAGAAAAGAAGAAGAAATGTCTATGCCTCCTTAATCACCACCCTTTACCAGCATCTCCCTTTCTAAAAGCTCCCTTAAAAATATGAACTTTTCAGCATGCCCTGCACACCAATAGATTTCAGCTATTTCAGGTAAAGGGAACTGGACGGGAAGAGTATTTCCAAATGAAAGGGGCTTTCACAGAGAACAGAATGGGCCCTCTCTTTTATTACTAAGGGGGCTCCATCTTGAGTACCTCCACAGATCGCAGCAGAGAGGTCAAGAATACTGGAATGCTAAATTACCCTCTTGTTCCAAGAAGCATTCAGACATTTCTGGGGTATTTGGTAATACATGCACTTTTACTGCCAATACTGTATCTATTCCATGGCTAAACAGGTGTAAACGTTGTTAGTTTAACATTTTTAACGTGTGCTAAATTCATTCACAAAAGAAAAAAAATAATCTCAAAAGGTCATTGTAACAGGGCTGGCTCTTCTCCTGTCCTGCAGTTCCTCACAAATGATCTTGTATGCTTCTTGACTGTCAACACCTCTGTGAGTTTTTCTTTATGTTCACATCACCAAGCCACCATCACAATCCTCTTGCAGAACGTCTACCTGCAGTATCCTTCAGTCCTCAGCCATTTCTCCAGGAATAAGGCATGTTCTCACCAACCAGAGACCTAGCTTATTCTGAACTCTGTTAGCCCCTCTTTCTTCCCATTGCATATCCTTTCTGGGTTCTTCAACTACCTTCTCGGTTGATGGGATAGTTAGCCCTTTAGCTAATCAGTTCACAGTCTGATTGGGTAATTAAGTATTCTGCCCCTCAATCGGGGCTTCTCTGGGGATCTAGTTAGTGCCTAAGTTACCAGAGTGCTGAGGCATTTTTAGGAGTAAAGTTTACTCCTGGGGGAATTCTGCACCAAAAAATTAAAAATTCTGTGCAAAATATTTTAAAATTCTGCAAAATTCTGCATATTTTATTTGTCAAAATAACACAATATAATCACTCCAGTTTGAATTATTTGTTGACAGGTATTTTGAAATAAATCACCAAGTATGTCAACAATACGTACAACAGCAACAAAAAGATTTTCCCAGGAGTAGAGTTAGAGAAACCCCTATAACAACCCAGTTCCAGTTGTGGGATGCTGGAGGGGGCTGTGTGGGGCCCCCAGAGCCCAGACACCTGCACCTCAGCCGCGGGGCACCTCCAGGCCCCGACACCTCCACTCCCTCCAGAGCCCAGCCATAGGGCACCCCCAGAGCCCAGACATCCATAAACCCCTTCCTCCCAGAACCTATCCATGGGGCACCTCCCAGCCCAGACACTTGCACCCCTCTCTCCCCAGAGCCCAGCCACAGGGCATTCCCGGTCTAGATACCTGCACCCCCAGAGCCTTTATTCCCCTCAGCATCATTCCCTTCCTCATCCTCTGCCAGAGCTTGATCTCCCTGGACCTCTCACGTCCCCAGGAGAATGAGGATCAAGCCAGATGGCCAGAGCGTGCAGAGCCTCCATCCCTGCTGGGCTGGGTGTTTCGCTCACTGAGCTGGGCTCTGCAGAGTCCAATGGCCCCTAGTGGCAGCCAGCAGTTCTGCAGCCCCAATTCTGTGGGGGAAACATGGAATTCTGCACAAATTCTGCATTGTGCAGTGGTGCAGAATTTCCCCAGGAGTAAAAGTTATAAACAGCTAAAAATAATAGTTTAGAATGAAAATGTTATTGTAACCACATCACTAGCACAACTATATAAAAATACCTAGGGTTATTCAGCACATCTGGTCATTCAATTACCTGAGCATTCCAATTACTCTTTTTAGGTCTGTACTTCAAGTGCACAATCTGTTGAAAGAGCAAGTAGCCTGATCTTCATATAACTAGTGTTCTTCTACTGCTAAACAAAGAGGGAAATAATGTTTCTGTGAGTGCACTATTGCTCTAAGAAACATAGGTATCTTTGTTGTGGTTCAGTAAAAACCATTAGTAAAGGGAGTTACACAATAGCAATTCAGCAGAGCATACCGTGGTACTTATATAAGTTATCTTCAAACAAAATATTATAAGTTTAATGAGAGCATTAAATGTGACTTCAGCTTAGAAAGGTCAAAACAAAGAAAAACACTAAAATTCTATTTCCATTCACCTAATAAAATGATGTAAAGAATAGAAAATAAATAAGTTTTAACCTTCTATCATTTATGAATAGAAAAATAATAATATAAAATTCTAGATGTAAAGGATTTTTTTCCTGTCAGTGAGCAGACAGTTAAAGTCACAACCTTTCTGTCTGAATCTGAACACCAAACTCTTTTATTACCCATCAAAACACCACCATCTGCAGTAGGGATGCTGACCTCTTTCAAACATCTTCCCCCCAGAGGGAACTGTTCCATCTTCCACTCTCTAACTGTACATTGCAACAAGCACTTTTCTGAGAGATCTCTACTTTTTTTTCCTAGTATTACTGGGTAAGATACAGAGAGATAAAGATTAAATCAGATGTCATTGCTGTTTTAAATTACAAAGAGCTGGGCACTTAGTACCAGTGGTCCCTAACAATAGTAATCTGAAATAAACTGCAGACTGCTACAAAGTCTAGTGCAGTACAGTGTTGCTGTGGAATGTTCCCATCATAAATTCAGACATTTCCTGTTCTCATTGGTAACATGTGACCTGTTCTAAATGACAGATTATTAACCTTTGCTTGATTATGAGGCAAATATACTTTAAAAGAGTCCAGAAATCATTTTAAAAAACCTAACTGAATATGTAACTTGTAGAAAAGTTACATTAACATAATGTTATTGAAGGGTTAAAATCCATTGCTGATGTAATAACCTTGTATATGAATTTGTGTACAGGCCCAAAGTCCAGAGTTTGTTCAAGAGGTCAGAGGCCTAGCAATAGCTAAGAGAAAGCAGAATAACCAAAGATAACCTTGCTTTTGCTAAGATATGCCTGGTCAGCAAAACGCCAGATGTTGGGGGCAATAATTGTGTCTTAGTCAAAGTTGCAAATAGAACAAAGAAGCCCTGTTTCTGTTGTGTTAGTTTCTTCTGTAGGGAGATGTTCTTCCCACACATCCAACCTTGAGTTTATGAA